TCCACTTCCCCACTCCACCCTTCACTCCTTCCAACCCACAGCCCCCACAGCCTCACATGCTTTGGGCCCACTCTCCCCCTCAAGATGCAGTAGTACTACAACCTTGTCCCTATACCCCTAGAGATGAGATTCACACTCAATGAATTTCACTCTTCTAGAAGCCTCCTGCCACCTTTCCTTCTCTTCAATACTTCTTCACTAATGTCCCACCAGCCCCTCCTCCACAACATATAGAATCCAATACCCTTCATTCCCCCTATCCAGACCCAATCACCAGAGCAGTCGTCGTTATCCCTGACCCAATCCCAGTCTACCACGCAGCTCTTGCAAACTTTGTCAGTGGACCTTCCCACTTTTGAAAACTCAGATGATGAAAGGTTCCATTCTGATGTATAGTCACCAATCTCTACAAGCCCCCAAGAAATAGCAAGGATCAATAACGGTGAGCCAAACATGGGTTCTATGCTTCGAGATATGCGATTTTTTATAAGGGAGAGAGTTTAGACCTCACAAATGTGCTCAGAGAGAACATCGAAACTATGGAATTAATCAACCTAGTTATCCCAGCCACCTAACTCTCCAAATGATGATTCTAGTGTGGAACATTAGGGATCTGGGTTCATGAGCTCCAATCCAACATGGTGGCCCTAATCGAAACCAAGCTTCCTGAGCCTTCATTCTTACTGGTGAGAGCCAGTGAGAAGCTAAGGAGTCTATGGGTACATCAAAGGGGATCTGGTCATATACGACCCCACCATACATTATATGTTGTACTTATGAGCTTCTTAATAAATCTAACCCTCTTTAGAATCACGAATGAGCTTAATTGGAAGGTTTAGATCGTCTGTGGTCCTAACTCTCCCACTCATAGACGAAATCTTTGTCTTGAACTCCAATCAAAATCTCTGAGTGTGTCTGTCTCTTGGGTCTTGAGAGGGATTCCAACATTATTAGAGGGACTTATGAGATGTACATGATGGGAGAACAAAAGCCTGCATGAGAGACATCTTGGGTTTCATCAAAAATAACTCTCTTGTTGACATCCCTCTCTCAAGGGCATTGTATACTTGATCCAACATTGCAGTTGACCCCCTTCTCACCAAATTAGATGGTTTCCTTCTATTCTCTACCAAGGAATCCATCATCCTAAGATCCTTCTCTAGTGCTCTACCTAAAACCACAATTGACCATAAATCTATCCTCATAGATACTCAACCCCTTCCCAGACCAAAGAGCCCTTTATTAGATTTGAGCTCTTGTGGATGGAAGAACTAGAATTTGCACAATTTTGCCATTGGTAATCCTACTCGGTTTATGGTTGGGCTGGATTCCACCTCACCAAAAAGCTATCTAAAAGCTTGTTCAAACTTTGGAGAGTTTCTCGAACAAACAACCCCAAACGTCTCATCTTATCTCTCATAACAGAATAAAGGAAATTGAACACCATTGAAGATTCCATATCTCTGATAGAGTCAGAACGATCAACCTGAGATAGTCCATTCATTGCACCAAAACAAGAAGAAACTTACCAACATCAAAGGTCCCATGTAAATTGGGTCACACTAGGGAATAGGAACACAGCTTTGTTCAATAAGTTCGCCAGTTCAAGGAGAAGAGCACCTCAATAACCCAAATTACAATGGGCGATTGCACCTTTGCCATTCACGAACACATCAACAGGATCATTATTCATACTTCTGAAATCTCTTCTCCAAAACTGTAGGTCCCAAACCCAAGTTGGCCAACCTCTCTTTCAATCTTCTTCCTCAATCGGATTCTACTTGGCTAGAACATCCCTTCTCAAAGGCAGAAATAAGAAGGGCGATGATAAAACTCGTCCGGGATACAGCCCATGGGTCTAATGGATTACCCCTAGCCATTCTTCACCAGTTCTAGGATGCGGTTGCTCCGGATTTTTGTCATTTTTCCATGACTTCTACCATAGAGGCTGTATTCATAAGGATATGAACTCTACTTTTCTCATTCTCGTTCCAAAGTTCGAGAATAGGAAAGATAAAGGATTTATGACGTACAGTCTCTCGAATTCCTCAGACAAAATCTTAACCAAAGTTCTCCCTCTAGACCAACGCAGATGCCTAGCAAGTCATTTACAACTATATTGCTGACTGACACATTTGGACAGCGCCCTGTTAGTTCACGAGGCTTTATATCCAAATACCACAAGGAAAGGCACGGAGTAGTGATAAAACTTGACTGGGAAAGACTTTTTTTTTTTTGAGGAAGTTAACTTGTATTAAAAAGCTTACGACTGGGGAAGACTTATGATCACGTCAATTGCTTGATTTTGGATGAGACCCAATCCAAGATGGTTTCGAGTGCCAAATGGAGAAACTGAGTTCAAAGATGCATCTCAAATCCCATCTTCTCGGTCCTCATAAATGGTTAGTCAGAAGGTTTCTTCTCGGCCTCAAAGTGTTTTATGTCAAGGTGAGCCCCGCTCCTCCTTTTTGTTTGCCATCATGGGCGACCTCTTTTCCCAGTCCATATCCAAGTTGTATGAGAGGGATTTTGAGTGGACTCTAAGTCTCTACATACATTCTTATAATCAACCACCTACTATACGCAGTTGATACAATTATCTTCAGCAAAGCCTGTCCCACCCAAATGGACAACCTTTGTTGTTTCTCCGGAGTTTTGAAACTAACACAGGGATGAAGGTTAATACGTCTAAAATGCTAGCAATTACGACGAGTCTTGAAGAAGTCAGCTCTCTGGGCTAACCCTTATGCAGGGAACAAAATCGTTTCCTACCACTTAGATCTACCACTATGTTTGGGGGTCCCTAAGAAGCAGTTGTGGGTTCACATCGTAGAAAAGTTCAATAAGAGGTTAGGAAACTGGAAAGAGCTTTACCTATCCCTTGAAGGTAGGATATCCCTAAACAAAGCAACCCTAGCAAATGTTTATATCTACAATATGCCTCTTTCCTAAATTCCTACAATGGATGTCTCCAAACACAAAAGTTTTATGCGAAACTTCCTATGGTGTGGGTTAGAGGAAGCCCATAAGTTCCACCTAGCTTGGGACAAGGTATGTTGTCCTAAATACAAGGGAGGCCATGGGATTAAGCGGCTTGAGCAAAACAATTTGGCCCTGCTTGGCAAGTGATGGTAGAGATTCGAAGTGAACAACACCCAACCTTGCAGAGAGGTCGTAGCTACTAAATATGGCTTGGAAGAAAAAAGGTGGCTACCAAAATGTCCTCAACATTGCACCTCGGGTGAATGGTCTTGCAATGCAAAGTGCAGCCAAGCTTTCAGAAGTTTGGTTAGGTTCAAAGTTGGTAGGGGGAGAAGAATCAAATTCTAGAAACATCAGCAGGTGCAGATCAAACATTAGGACTTTGTGCCAACCACATTGCTGAAAGACTGGCCAGGAAGGGTGTTCCCAGAGGGCACAAAACTCACATATCTCTCTCAGAATGCTTCTTGTTCATCTCTTCCACCTGTTTCTTAAGTCAATCTTGCTCTCTCTCTTACTACTTGCCCTTCTTCTCTCCCTCTCTCTCGCTCACTCCATCATCTCCTTTTCTTTGCCGCTTCTGCAATTGTTGGTCTATTTCTTATAGGTTAGTAGCTTCACAGTAGAACTCATCTGTTGTACTTACTTCAGCTCTCATCGTGTGGGTAGTGGGTTTTCTTATGTTGGAGGAGATATTTTTTGTTCGAGCACCCAAGGCCTCGGTTTTCCCATCTACCACTTTCTTATTCTCTTTGCTAAGAGCACCCAATTGGTGGGCAGCCAACTTGAGCATTTTGCAGTTTTGTCCACACACACACACACAAACACACTACATATAATGAACCTAATGCACTTGATACTCAAATCAAGAATAGAAAGGAGTGGTCCACATGCTTTTAAGGTAGTTCTCCCTTCTTGCGGGATCTCAAAAAGAAAAAATGAGCCTTCTAGTTTAGACCTGAGTGAATCACTTTAGTATGATGCCAATAGACCGGTTTGATATCACCCCTCAATCTGAATTAGCAAAAACAATGTCTCCCTGCATAATATGGATTCAAAACCTTCATGATCTGTATTTGAATGAGTTGACTTACTTGGCGCTCATTCTGTTGCTTGCTGTCGTAGCTTGCTGCCTTCGTTTGCTGGAAAATCCCCAATAGTTGGCCCGATCTCTTTTTTTTTCCCTTTCAATCAAACTAAAGGCTTAGTAGAGAAGGAGAGTCAGAAGAATGATATCTATATATATATATATATATAACCTTTTCCAATTATTTGGGATCAGCTACACGAATCCTGATCCACCATTCTACTCTATCAAGGGCCATACCCTCAGTGAGGCCATAAGTCCAAATATCTTTCTCACTACATCCAAGAATGCCCTTTTGGGCCTATTGCTTCCCTTTTTGAACCTTCCACTTGAACCTATTCACCTTCCCTAACAGGTGTTGTATTGGGTCTGCACTGCACATGGCCAGCCTACTTATGTCTACTTTCTCTCATTTTATCGCCTATTGGAGTCACACCTAAGTTCTCCCCAAAAAAGAAAAAGATCAAACTTATCTCTCAAAAAGAGAGAGAGAGAGAGAGAGAGATAGTTTGTAACATGATGGAGTTTAAATGGTTGCTTTTTATCTCCCCTTTATGCACATATGTTTCATTTGTCACATCCACATGACGATCCCAGCAACCCAGTCCCATATGAAGTTTTTTTTCTTTTTGTTAAAATGAAAAAGGACAACTATGATGTACATTACAGCTGAAAAGTGCATGCAGAACAGAAAAATAAAATAAAAACAATAGCTGCTTCATAAAGATCAATTCATTACAGGCACAAATTTCAAGCTTTTGATCAATCAACCGTATAGTTCTTTACTCAAAAAAGTAATATGCATCCACAAACAACTTCTACGGTCACATATTTATCCACAAGAATATTCCCATCTTAGCCGCACAAAGTGTTACTATTTAACCTAAATAACACCTATATCTCAAAATAAAATTATCAAGCAGACACACACCTTCAGAAGGTAATACAGTATTTGCCCCAATGCTGGCATCAAGTTCTGTTGTCGGGGAAACCAATTGTCCCTCAGCAAATCCCAGACATAGGTTATTCAAACTCTTAATTGCGGAATCTAAATCATGGCCGCATTCTAGCAAAGCTCGCTCAAGAAGCTGAAAGACTCAAATCCAGACTAGTTATTAAAGCAATACCATCAGCAAGAAGAATTGTAAGACTATCAAGGTAAAAACCTTAAAATGAACTTCCAAGGCCAAATCAATTGAGAACTAATACAAGATGACCTACTAAAATAATAAAAACAATAAAAGATGATATTTCCACAAAGATGTTAGAGAAAACACAGGCCCAATTTAGAACCATACAATAAAATTCATTCAATAACCATCCTTGGGAGACAAAAACATTGCTTTCAAGAGAGCTTTTTGACAAAAATAACGTCTTATTCCCATCAAAGCATTCCTGAAATCATAAAATTGTTTTATCTTGTCATTTTGAAGTCAAATTCTTATTTTTATAATGCTTTTACAGAAAGGAATGAGGCAATTAGAGTAACCCACCAAATAGACGAAAATTTGAACTTTAGCATATACCCAACCCCAAGATTCAAAAAGGAAAAATAAAAGAAAAATTATAAAATAAATAAAATAAAGATATTCCTAAAACAGGAATCACATTCATGGAATCCAAAAGAAAAACTTTTCCCTACAGCCAAAACAAATCTCAAGTTAGCTCTTTAGAAAATTTGAGAGACCCTCATTACAGTGTCTTTCATAATGTATATTAGACAAAGAATTATGTATGAAGAACAATAGATAAATGGAGAGGCCCTCATTGAAGGTGCGACATTTCCCCCACAGTACAACCCATAGTTGAAGAAGTTACCAGATAGGCTATATAGCAAATAGTCATACACTACATTGCCAGAAATCAAGCAGTGCCAATAGAGTGTATTCATCAAGCTGGTCAAAAGTTTCTAGGAAGTTCAAAAGTGATTTACTTCTGATAATTAAGAAGAAAAGTGATATTAAACAACATAGTTCTTGACAAATGGAAGCATCTTTTGTGGAAAAATATGTAAGAATTGGAATAGACTTTATCATTCAATTTGGTTTGTTCCAGCTTGGCTTCTTTTATAATGTTAAACAAGAGCACATTTTCCATATTAAGGCTAATGGAAATATTTTACTCTTATTATGCAAACAAAGAGTTTGGGAAAATCCTTCAAAAATCAGATTCTTGGAAATAGTAGATCAAATTTGATTGTTCAAGAGCTCCCTAGTTCACCAAGAAGTTAGACAAATCCCCTATGGATTCAGAGTTCACATGTACATTATGTTATGGTGATTATCCGAACATCACATGCCTGTAAAAGTGAAAGCAACAAACCTGTTTACTGGTGTGGAAAATATAACTTCAGATTACGAAAACAACTAGAAAAAAAACACTTCTGATGCAATTAAAATCTAAACAATGTAAAACAACCCAAGTCAATATCGTGCTAAGCCAACTAAAAACCAGTCATACAGAGACAAAAAGAGTAACCAAACATTTTGGGTTCCTCATAGTTAACACAATGGGGAATCTATACACAGACAGTACTCAGAAAACAACATCACAACTCTCGCATAAATGTAAAACTTCATTACATATAGAAGGTTCTCGCAGAATTATACGACTGGATTTCTGATACGTTTGAATATGTCCATACTTCTTAGTAGTTTTTTTGTAAGAATGATTAAAGTGAAGAAGATTTAGGTCAAGTCGCAACCCCATGCATGAAATTTTCCATACGCAAAAATGGTTCAGCTATTTTTTCACAAAACCAGAGTAATCAATCAATCATTATGCATTCCAATATACAAACAATCAAAGAACTGATTACAATATGAAGTTAGAAGAGAAAGTATCACAACTACATTTTTGGATCAACTCATGGTACAAATCATTATGGATAAAGATTTTCGATACAAGGGTACACATACCAAAATGGTTAAAAAAAAAAAATAAGGTCACTGCATCTAGTTTATGATGACTGTCAATCTACACGGTATGGCAAAAAAAACAACTCAATTAGACAAATTAAACCCACACAAATACCAAAGTCCATAATGATATTCATCTATACATTTATTGCAACAAAAACACGTTGAATAAACAAGATAAATCGCTGCAAATACCAGAATTCATGTAAAAAACCAGTAGCAAATCATATAATCCCCTAAAACCCCTAATAATGAAGAAGGGAACTGAGAAAACAATAGAGAGACAAAAAATAAAAAAATAAAGAGTTCAGAGATACAATTACCTGTTCATCCATGCTGGGAAAGAGCTCCCTTAGTAGAGAGAGAGGGGTATGAGAAGAGGGAAAAGAGAACTGAATGGGAGAGGTAGAATCTCCAGAGCAGCGAAACCTCTTCAAAGAAAGAGAAGAGGGAGAGGAGTGTAGCTCTTCGAAAAGTGACCTCTTTCTACAGACTGCAGCAGACATGGTTTCAGCCACCAAACTTTAGACTATGTCAAGGGAAGCCGGAAGCACCACCCTTGCCCTAGATTTCCATGCAAAGAAGAGCCCCTCTCTGTGTGAGAAGAAAAGCTTTTGTGTTCTCAACGAGAAGAATTTAATGCCTGGATTTGCTCCCTATATATTCTTTGTGTGACAGAGAGGAAACGGAAAAGAAACGGTCTTGTTTCTTTATACACAAAGGATATTCAATATGGGCAGGCAACGTTTAAAAAAAGGGTGAGTATATGATGAGAACAAAGTGGTCGCAATAAATCTTGACCATGTGAAATTAGGTGGATGCATTTCTTTTATTGAACAAAGCTCAAAGTTAAAAAAAAAAAATTTGAACAAAGCTCAAAGTTAAAAAAAAAAAATTTGAACTTTCAAACACATCCAAGCTATCAGATTTCCCATCAAATCATTGTAAGAAATTGTGATCTCTCTATTTTAAAGGTTATTTCGTATCATTGTATATAATTTCTTAAAAAAACGGATAAATGACTGAGATAGGCCAAAAAAAATAAAAAAATTATATTAGGTTGCAACCTTATACGGTTGAAGTAAGGTGCACATCAAAAGTCTTACAGTGGAGAGTCTTCCGGCATGCAAGAACCCTCCAACTTATCATCTCAACTTTGAGATAAATGGACATGAAGAAAAATAATAATTCCAAGTAAAAAAAAATGTTTTTTGTAAAAAGTGATGTGGACCATCTATTTTTTTAGATTTGCAAGTGTTTCTTGATCTGCTCGATTTGTACTATTTTAGAAATTTTATAAATGAGGATAAAAAGAGATTTTGAAACCAACACAAGGTTTTTGACACTAAAGCAACAACTCTAAGTAAATTTTATAGGTGTGCCGTACTTCTACAGTATAAGGAAGCAACCTCATGCAAACCACACACACCCCCCCCCCCCACCCCCCCCCCTCCAACCCCCTCCAAAAAAAAAAAAATTGGTTGGATTGGTTGATCTGTGATTCGGATTGGAGAATTGGTCAGATCAACGGGTTTCAACTTCAAATAATTTTTCAAAATATTAAATATTCATAACAATAGTATTTTTTCAGTTTCTAAAAAAATTTGTGAGTGGTACCTTATATATTTTTATTATTTTATAAAAATACATTAATATTGAGAAGCCGTTTTCTTGTTTGAATGTCTATTAGTATTAAAATATATTTTTACAAAAACTTTGATACATATTTTGTGATTTTTAGTGAAGAAAAGACAGAGAAAATAGTTTTTTATAATGATTTTGTGATACTAATTATCATTTTTTATGTGATTTTTCTCTCACCACTGTAGACCTCTCTTATACACAGTAAAAATAACATTGGATATCTCTCTTTCCCATGTACGTACAAACATGTAAATATGCGGAACATATTAGACTTTCTCTCTCACACACTTGGTGGAAATATAAATGTAAATATTTCACAAACATGTAAAAATACGAACATATTCGATCTCTTTCATTGTTAACCTCGTCATCCTTCATCAAGACCATTTGATCTTCACTCTTAATGCATTTATAACATGGTTGAGATACCTACACTTTTTCTCTATTATGTTTGCTAATTTGAAGACTTTTATTTTATATTTTCCTGTTCCTAGTTTATTATATAGACTATCATATGTCTTAAGTTTAGCCTTACGTAACATTTGTTCAACGTTTTTCTTAGCACTTTTATATAAGGTGTGGTTTGTATAGAGCCTAGGCTCTAAACAATCAAATTAGATCATACCTTCAAATAATGTCAAGAAATGTAGTTTTAATACTGAAAATCTTTGTGATAGCCTTAAAATATATTTTTCGTCTTTATTTATAAAGTTTAAAGCTTCAAAAATAGTGTAGATCGATAGATCTATGAAAACTTGAAAATTGATGGTCCAAAAATGCGTTACAAAATACACTTTCCAAATCTTGAAATCCATTTTTTTCTCATGTCCATGCATCTTGATGTCGAGATGATCAATTTGATGATATTTGGGCATCAAAACAACCTCTTCAAGTGAACTTTTTAAGGTAGGTTTTAATTTGATTGTTTAGAGCCTTGATTCTATATAAACTTTTCTTTTTTATATATTCGTCTAAGTTTTTATCATTTCTATTACATTATCAAATTTTATAACATAATCGTTTTTTGTTAATGGCCTTTTGAACCTCACTACTCTACCGCTACATTTTTTTATCATGATTATTTTTCCCTCTAGTTTCTCCTAAAACTTCTTTTGTCACTTTCTTAATACAACTAGTCTCGTCATTCTACATACAATTGACTTCATGTTCAGAGTTTCATTTTTATTCCTTAGCTAATTTATTCCAAAAAATTCTATTTTTCTCCTTTTTGTTAAAACCTCCTTGGACACCTATTAATTTCACCCCTTCTCTTTCATCTCTTTATGAAGACATCCATACTCACAAATGCTATGTTGTATGGTCAAACTCTTATGAGATAACTTTATAGCCTTTACATGATAGTCGATTTATCTTCTTACCTAGGAAGAAGTCTATTTGGCTTTTATATAATCTATTTTTATAGGTTATTAAATATTCATTTCGCTTTTCAAAGTAAGTGTTTGTTATTACTAGGTTGTAGGACATAGCAAAATCTAGAATAGCCTCAGCTATTTCATTTCTTTCAGGAAACCCATCTCCCTCATTTACTCCTTCATATTCTGTGCTATCCTTCTCACTATTATCATTTAAGTCCCCTCCTAAAAATGTCATTTCTCTAATTGGTATATCTTGGACTTGTCCATCCATGCTTTTTATGGAATTCTCTTAATTCTATCCTCTAGTCTTACTTGGGGTGCATATCACTAATTGCATTATTTATCTGTTATCCTAATAAAAGTTTAACTATAGGAATCTATCACCTACTCTCGTGACATTAACTATCTTATCTTTTAAATCTTTATCTACTATTATACCTCCATCATTTCTATCCTATTATTATCCTTTCCTATATACCTTTCCACTTAAATTCTTATAGACAAGCTATGTTTACTTGCATTTGTCTCATTGTATCCATTAACTTCATACTCTTACTTGTAAGCGTTGTACGTTCCATGTGGCTAGACAAATTTTATTCTTCTCTTAAATTAGCTTCTTTACTCACGCTCATCCAGTGTGTCGTGCAAACCCTTGCCTATTTTTCACCTCAACTGGGTAGGTTGCGACATGTCGTTTCTGAAAAATGTCATAGCTAATCCTTGCTCATTTTTCACTGTATCTAAGTCCAATACAACAATCGCCTATGGGGGAACGCCCTAGCATAAGCAGATAATATGGATTTAGGATTCATAAAAAGTTTTGGCAAAGTTCATGCTAGTTACCTATCTAACACAACCTACCTCATTTACTTGGACTTGGGAGGGTGAAGAGAAAATTTAAGGTCCTTATTAGGACTATGATGACTTTCATAGCCCTATTACCATTATGAAGGGTATTTTAGCTAAAAAATGTGAAGAGTACAAAAAAAGGGTATTAATGAGGTTTTGAAATAAATAGGGGGTTTTTCAATTTTCCTAAAAAGAAAAGGAATATTTTTTATAGTTTCCTAAAAAAAAATTTTAAGCTATTGTAGGGGTTTCCATTGCCAAAACTACATCGACACAATTTGGAAGAGTGCATTGCTTTGATTGTTAAAGGTTGACGCCTTATACGAACCATTCCCTTCCATCAAACATATATTGCATATCAAGTAAAAATCAATTTAGTTCTAAAACCATTAGACTAAATAATCAACACATATTACAAAAAGCAAAAAGCACAAAAAATTATTATAAGGAATACAAGTCACACATTCTTTATAGATACCAACATTGACATTAAACTAACACTTCTTGAACTCAATAGTACCCAAAGTTTATATATATATATATATATATATACTAGCAGATCTTCATTATGTGGTTCATAATTCATATCATCATATGAATTTTAATTTATTTTTTATAAATATGATTAAGATGAAATTTTGGGTGTATATACCTAACACTATTATGCACCACATAAAATATACAAAAAATATTTTCAATAATTTAAAATGACCAAATTCCCCCTGTCATTTTTTTAGGGGTAATTCAATTATTTATATTTTGGAAAATATTTTTTATTTGTGCGCCGTATTTTTTAGTACCTATGTATAAAATTTCATTATGATCCAATTTATAAAAAAATAATTAAAATTAAAATAGTGTTATGTATTATGAACCGCATGATAAAGATCTGACGGCTTCCATTCCACCTATATTACTATTCATTATAGCGTCCCAGCTATTGTTAGCTTTTTCCCATATATATATATATTTTTTGTATATTTTATGTATATTTTTTGTATATTTTCCCAACGCCTATAGGCGAAAATGAACAGTGATTTCGCCTACCCTCATCACCATCCAAACATCATCGCACGATCACAGTTGTCCTGTAGTGTTTCAATTTTCATTTTTTTCTACAAATCTAAATTACGGGGGTATTTTGGTTAATTTATATTTTATGAATTATTTTTTTTTATATTTTTATTAGATGCGCCTACACGTTCCAAATTTCAAATCATTCTAATTAGTAAAAATAAAAAATAAAACTTTGAACACTACCAGACAACTGTGACTGTGCGATGAAGTTTGGATGGTGATGAGGATAGGCGAAATCACTGTTTATTTTCA